GGCCATTAGGCCATCGGCTATTAGCAATCACAATAGCCACACGAATCAAGCTCCATTTACATTGGAGATGCTTCAAGCTCCCAATGGCTATGGATACTCTAACTATGAGAATTCCATGAATTCTTACATGAATCATCAACACCACCAGCAGCAGCAGCAGCAGAGTGTGTATCAGAAAGCGAAGGATGAACCTAGAGAAGACTTGTTCATTGAGTCACTTTTGTGTGGAAACATGGGCTAGTTTTTCAAATGCTTTTTTCGACACGGTACAAGTTGTTCTCTAACAATAATATGTTGTAGTAAAATGGTAGTTTTGTATATTCCTGATAGGGTTTTGTGTGTAAATCTTGAAAAGTTGGTTTTAGAGAACCTTAGTCTCATTTGTTTATTTTTATTTTTTTTGTGGAGTTCCTTTCGGACCGGAAAATAATGGATATTTGAATACTGCTGTATCATTACTTAGAAATTTAATGTCATGGTTACAAATTATAGTTTAATGCATGGCAAGTGTTAAATTTCTGATTAATTCTTTTTTGCAAAGGAAAATAATGAAAAGGTCTTATTTCAAAACTAGCTACGTTATGCAACTTTTGCTCTTTTTTCTCTCTTGATAAACTCTCATAATATGACTAGCAAATCTTTTCTCAAAAAAAAAACATCATTAGCAAGTCTAAGAAGTAAGAACCATTTATGGAGGAGTAAAAGATTAGATACCTCTATATATTGACCTGTAGAAATACAATATTGAACCACAAGAACCTCCTCAAGTTCCTTAGACAAGACTTTGCGAGGTCAACTATAATCAAATAATTAGGCTTCAACTAATTGATTAGATTATGCTTATCTCATTTGATTGGCTTATCTTATGTGCTAATTTGGTGCCTCTTGTTGAGCTATATCGATATCGGAAACCGCACCTCGCGTCCTCCTCTACTTTGCTTGCGCTACAGTTTTCTTATAAAAGTATTCTTTTCCTTTGTTTAAAAGCTTGCGAGGTGATTAAAATAATTAAGGCGATAAAAATCATTAATTAACCAAGTAGATAACAACAACTTGTAATTGGCAGCTGTAAGAGGAGGAACCTTCCAGGACTTGATACATACAACATGTGCACAAAATATAAATAAATAAATAAAATAGAGAGGTTTGAACAGTCAAAGATTGTTGGCGGTGGAATTTTCAAACCACCAGCCTTTAGAAGCTTCCATTTACAATTAAACTTTTATGACATTTGTCCTCGATCGGAGATAGACTACAGCTCTCCCTAAATGTCCTTGTACAAGTATGACGCCTTGGGACACGTATAAAATAATTGGACGCAAGTTTATAGCTTAGCTGTTTGTTTTTTGCAATTAATTAAAAAGGGAGCTTTATTTATAAATATATAGATAGATAATATTTCCTCTACACAGCAATTTGAATGTACGAGTTTAGTCCAAGGTTTTAAAATAAATAAATAAATTTCCCTCCCCTTTTTTACATCATTTGAATTTAAAATTCTTCTATGTTTATTCACATAATTTTAAGGCATGCTCAATTAGCTTTGTTTTTTCATGTTTGAAGACTGTTGGTTGTTCTAATCTATACAGAGCAATACAAGTGGACAGTCCAGGAGTTTTAGCGACCCTTGCATGAATTTTTGCAGATTGTAACATGCACGCAATCTTTTCATCAGTTTCTATCTTTTATTATTTTTCATTTTACAAATATTTTTTTCCTTTTTATATTAGCGTATGTAATGTAGAGGAGTTAGACTTATATAATTTTTCTCCCTCTAAGAGAACATGGCTCCAGATAAGGGTCAAGGGGCCAGAGATGGGCCATGCATGTTTGCAAGTTGCCCACTACCTCGTAATTAAGGTCATCATCAGCATTATTGAGGGCTGGGCAAAATTGCCAGCCATGCGACAATGCTAGGGTGATAGGGTTTTTCTAACCCCTGTTGCGATTTGGAAATAGAGATGAGAGAGAAGAGAAAAAAAATCACATAACACACAGAATTTACGTTATTCAATTCTCGATGAGAGAAACTACGTCCACGGCCGCCGCCGCAGTTAAAATTCCACTATACTCTGAATAGTTTACAAGCTGCGCTCTAATCACTCTTTTATAGCTAGAGTATTAGTGCGACTTAAAATTATATGTATACCCTTAGGAAAAAATTTCTCGGGGCCTACCGTCCCCGAACCCCCCTCGGGCAAGGGGGCTACCACCTTCTGCAACCCCCCGTGGAACTTACCGTGAAGTTCGATCCGCGCAGTTGGGGTTCTGACGATTCGATCATTTAAGCGAATTGGACCGGATCTGAAAATTAGGCTCCACATAACCTAACATAGGGAACAATAGGGTTCGAGCTACCCCAAAATCTTAGCCGTCTCCGAACTCCGTTAATGGTCATCTACATGAAGAGCAATATTAGTTTGCTTTTTAAAAATAGTAATGAAGGTAACCGTTCTCGTTTTGTATATTGTTTTCATGATCAGCAAAAAATATCTTTTTTTCCAATACGAGAATCAAACACAAGACTTTGAGAGTCATATAGAAACCTCGTAAACATCTGGACTATTTGATTGTATTGTTTTTTCTCTTCTCGCGGAGATGTAGCTAACGGGCTCGGAGACCTTGGACAACTCTCATAAAGTAATTTTTAAGTACCTTCTTGTTATAGCATGCAAATAGTTTAAGTGTTGATATCATTAAAAGGCCGACTCGGGCCTAAACAACCATACTTAAAGAAGGACGACTTGGGCTACTCCAACGATCGACCTAATAGGCTGACAACTTGCGAAACCGACTAAAAAGATAGTACTTGTCGACCCACTCGCAGGATCGAGACGAGAAGCATTCTCACTCGGCCTACCACTCTAGTTGACTCCACTCCCTATTGCCTTCTGGCCCTTCCAGGTCAACAACTTGCGAGGCCGACTAAAAATGCAAAGTTTGTTGGCCTTCAGTGAGACGAATCGGAAGACAATGCACCCTCAAGCCTCCGCCGATAGTCAATTGTCATCACCTTAAATGCATGATCAGAATTATCACTGCTCCAGTCCCAAAAGTCTTTATGACTCATCAGACCTCATTAGCACTACGTGCATCCTGTCATTAATTCCCACATTAAATGCCTGGATGACTCACCCCCTTCAGTGGTCGACACATGTAAAGTAGATAATGACCAAGCCACCAGTTGGATGCGGCCAAAGTTACATATCTACCTGTTTGATCTACTATAAAAGGGAATTGATGTCTACTACAAAGGGTAAGCTATTTTAAGTGACTTTGAGCAACTTTATTTGCTACTTAACTCTTACTTTCTCACTCAAGCTTTGAACTGACTTGATTGTCCGATGAATCACCAGAGACTCCAACTCTGACATCTCACGAATTCTTCATGTGCAGGATAGAATTTCTGGCTTAAGAACTAACCATCTAAGGAAGCTTGATGACACTAATACCCCTCATAATCCACAAAATAACCCCATGTTCGATAACTGATATCAACACTTCTTAATTAGAATTACTATATCTTGAGAATTTGTTTATTAAAAAATGTTAAATTCATAATTTTTATATAGTGTGCGTACTTTAATAGGCAAAGATTATTGGCTCTGTCGCTAGAGTTCATATTATAGTCGAATCATAGGTATATGCATATAAAATAGATTTATAACAACATAAGATAAAGTAGAAAATGAAAAAAGTTTGTTACGTACACAATCATAAAAAGTCGATAAACCTTCCTGGGCAGACTATTTTTCACCAATATTATTTCACATATTAATTACTGAAATATTTTTTTAATATCCCTTTCTTTTTAACAGCGATGTCCATGCTTCAATCTAGCACATCAAGCAAATAAAAAAAAATTAAAGAAAATATTTCGCACTTGTATTCATCACCACAATCCATTTCGCAGTCTTTATATTGAGAAACTGAACAAGACACAAATTAAAGCTTTCGAAGAAGATACATCCAAGTTGACATGTGAGCTACAACAAAGTGCATAAAAATGTGATTGGTATATATACTTTTAATTTTTTTTTCTCAACCTGGCTATAGCTAGTGTCATCAACAAAGAGAAAAGGACACGCTAAAAATATCGTAAAGAACGGTTTAAAGTGTAATAAAATATATAAATAACCAACAATTTGCAATAGTGGGCCAAAGCTATCTTAGCCCTTGGACCCACACGGCAACTCACCTAAATTTTCAAAAGCCCACATGGCCTCCCTGACTTCGGCACACCATTCACACTATAAGTACGTCAACTGGTATAAACCGCTTTAGTACCTTAAGAGAAATATAAAATGTTCATAGAAAAAAGATAATTATAAAGAGATGGAAAAAGAAAACCTATTGGCGAAGATAACATAAATAATATAAAGATACAGCGATAGGTAGAACATCAGAATGAATATGTATATATAAGATATAATATATTAGTATAGTTATATTATATGATAAGAGTAGATATACGGTATATATTATTAATATATATATATAATATATAACGGTCATTAATCTCCCTTTAAAGCATGAAGTGGCGGGAAAATCTTTTTGTAGGATCCAAATTACCCAGCCTTTAATAGTTTGAAATACTTATCTATAATCAAATTCTAATTATTCAAAATGGTCAATATTACCGCTTCACTATTTGGAATATTTTATTTATATCTTAATCTATCCTAGTCATAATCATGATTTTAAGTTGCCAAGATCCTATGTAACATGTTAGCTTAAGCAAGATTAAGAATAAAATTAATTATTAATAAGAATATAGACTAATAATGATCATTACGTGTTGTTATATAAAGAAATTACAAGTAGATAACAGATATTATAATACATGAAATGCAGAAAAAACCATAAATATTTTAAATGTGCAGAAAATGATCCTGAAAAAGTTAATGAATTGTAAATCATGACCAAATGTCTCAAGAACTTAAATATAAAGAACCTGAAATTAAAAAATTGACATAGTTGACGAATTTAAAGATTTACAGGTTAACGCACTGAATCATGTCTCCTAGAACATTATATGAAAGACACGGGGACTCAAAGTGTTAAATTACAGACAACAACGATTAAATCTAAAAATTGTTTAATAAATTTACAAACAAACATGATGAAATATCAAGGAATTAATCATATACAGGCTCTAAAATTTTTGATCTTAAATTTAAATTTTTTAATTACCCTCAGTATCTCAAAATTTATTAGATAACACCTTCAGGGAAGGTTCAA